TTACTTTATTGATTGATTGATTGATTGAGTGAGTGAACGAGAGAGAGAGAGAGAGAGAGAGAGAGAGAGAGAGAGAGAGAGAGAGAGAGAGAGAAATACAAGGGTTGGAGGGGGAGTGCCACGGCACACATGGGGAGGTCAAAGGACAATTTAAGGAAGTAGTTTCTTTCCTTCCACCACATGGGTTCCACAGATCAACTTTAGGTTGTCAGTCTTGGCAGCAATTGCCTTTACCTGCTGAGCATCTTATAGACCCTGTAATAAAATTCTTAATACAAAGCAATATGTAGCTCAGAAATAAACATTAGTTTCATAAATGATGTTCAAACATTGTAATAAGCATATAAAAGATAAGGGACTATTCCTTAAATATTATTCAATATTTCAATTTCATTAATTGTCTGTTGTCATGCACTGTTATTACCACAAGCTCTTATGATAACATTTAATTTAACATGCCACTTGCAGTGGTTTGAATAGGTATGGCTCCCATAGACTCACAGGTTTGAATGCTTAGCCCACGGGGAGTGGTACTATTAGGAGGTGTGGCCTTGTTGAAGTAGGTGTGGCCTTGTTGGAGGAAGTGTGTCACTGTGGAGGTGGGTTTTGAGGTCTTATATACTCAAGCTGTACCCGGTGTGGCCCACAATCTCCTGCTGCCTGTAGATCAAGACATGGAACTGTCAGCTCTTTCTCCAGCACGACCTGCACACTGCCACGTTTCCTGCTGTGACAATAATGGACTAAATCTCTGAACTGTAAGCCAGCCCCAATTAAATGTTTTCCTTTTTAAGAGATGCTGTGGTCATGATGTTTCTTCACAGCATTAGAAACCCTAACTAAAATGGTACTTCTTAGCTTCTGCTTTTATATTACTCAATTTTGAAATATGAGTAAAAATATAAAGAGCAGGTTGTATTAATTCATTCAAATTCTCTAAGGTTGAGGATCTACTTTGATCTCTAGGGGTCAGAAAATAAAAGCCTACCTGAGCTACAGGAGGAGTTCAAGGCCTGGATAAACATGTAAAACCCCCTTAGATATCACACACATGACATTTACTCACACAGACACACATAAATACAAATAAAAATAATAAAAGTAAATTTTTTTACAAAAAATGAGAATTTTTTTTTCAATTTTCTTTATTTATTTGGAGACAGGATCTCACTGTGTAGCCCTGGCTAGCCTGAAACTCACAATGTAGCCCAAGCTAGTACTGAGCTCACAGAAATGCTCTGACTCTGCCTCCACCACGTCTGACCCAGAAGCAGAAATGTTAAAAGTGCTATGGGTATGGCTCAGCATAAGGTATATGCATAATAATCATGAGGCATGGTCTCCAGTGCTGGGGAAGAAGGAATTCACTTTCATAGTTATACATCTTTCAAGTAATATTTTACTTCAGAGACTAAAGTTATTTTTCCATTTGTACTTTTCACAACAGGTTAAAAAAGTGAAATATCAATTAATCTCAACTTCCTTTCTCCCTCTTGCAGTTCAGCACAAATATAAATAGATGGCATTGACTAGGCAAGACTTGAATTCGCTACATTGTCTAGCTGAACTGAGTAACTTTTGTTTTATAATTTTTAGGGATTATTTCTTATCTTTATATTTCTAAAGATATAAAGAAAGAGTTAGATAGATAGATAGATGATAGATAGATAGATAGATAGATAGATAGATAGATAGATAGATAGATAGATAGATAGATAGATTCACAGTAGAGAAAGAAACAGAGAGATATCAATTAAACATTTTACTTTGAATTGTCTCTGCCAGACAATCACTTATTTCATAATTTTGTAATCTAAAACTTTTGCCCTTTCACAAAATTAAAAAATGACTTCTCTAAATCATAAGCTTTTCAACCTATAACTATCGTGCTATTGAGCCATGGAAGACATTGTCAACCTTGGCTGAGTAATGAACATGAAACTTACTCTGTAAAAACATTGTGCTTCCCTGGTCACTTGTAGTTTAATAAAGCTGGAGAAAAAAAATATGAACATGTGCTAACTTATTCTTTATTTATTTCAAATTGTCAATTATTTGTTATTTATTTGCTTGCTTTCCAGTTCTAGCAATTATTACATGTATATGTGTGTTTGTATGTATGTGTGTCTGTCTGTCTGTCTGTTTTATGCTGCTATTATAGAATACCAGATTTCAATGCTTTCACAACAAAAGAAGTTTATTTAGTTCATAGTTCCTGAAGTGGAAGTCCAAGATCCTAGGGCAGCCTCTGTTGTGGGCTTCTCACTGCATCATGACATGTTGGATTGTGTGACAGGAAGGGAGGTCAAGGGAGAGAGGAAGGAAGGGTAATGAGAGGGTGAGGAGGTACTAGGAAGGGGGGTTCATGCCCTCATTTGAAAAGTATATAATTCTATCCCTTGAAGTCTTAACTCATTCTAGTAATGTAGCATCAACTCAAAGGTCCAAAGCAGAAGTGAGTAGGACTCAGGGCATGGTTCATCCTGATACAAATTTTATCCAGTTGTGACCCTGTGAAGTCAAAGAAGTTGCTAACTTCCAAAATACAACAGTCCGGGAATTATTAAAATTCAATAGGGAAAACAGCACAAATATGTTTGCAGTAGCCATAAACTCCAACAGTTACTGTAGGAATGCTGGACACAGAGAGTTAAGTCCTGGGGCCCAGCAGGGGACAGAATGCACCTTAGTTCTTCAGAGGCCTCTTTGGGAGCCTTGGTTTAGCTCTGCCCTGGTCTGGGATGGGAAGGGCTGCATAGAAGACCTCAGAAATGCCTTCAGGGTCTTGCTCCCTTTGTCTTGATGAATAGAATCCTGAGCCCTTCTGCTAGGGGCCATGTCAGAGGAGCAGCAGGTGGCAATTGAAGTTCAAGGTGTCAGCCCCACAGGAGGCAACCCCCTGATGGGTGAATCTCCAACAACAAGAATGTCTTTTGCTTCTGCTGTGCCTTTACATGTTTGCTGCTGCTATCACCTGCCATCAAAAGAGTTGGCTATGAAAAAATACTTTCTGCTTGCTCATGTTCTGTTAATATGTAACAAGTTACTTAGATATAAATGTATATGGTTTATTAGGGTGACTTTGTTTTTAATCATGTAAGGGAGATAAAAAAGAAATCGGGTTTTTACCTGTACTCTGTAGGAATTTAGAAGAATCACTGTATGGGGTAGATATTAGAATGAACAGCTGTTCTTCAGATGTACTTTGACCTTGAAGAATCCTTGTAGGAAATGGTGATTGTCTTGCTGGAAGGACTTTGCAGCCATCCCCTGACTTTGTTACAAGACACCTAAGGCACACCTGAGGCTCTTGTATTACTGTGTATTGCACGTGATACATAACAAAGGACTAGAGTCATGGAGGCATGTGATGCTCTCCTTCAGTAAGACATGCAAATTAAGAGTAGGGACCTTGGTATGAGGAAATACTTTGTGTAACAATCAATAAATACACCTGTGTATGGCTGTTTGGGGTACAGTTCAGTCCACCAGAAGACACTGGACCTTCCTGCTGTCACATGGGCCTTAAAATTTCATCTGAGTGCCTTCTTTCTTCAACTGACAATGAAAGAACACAGAAAGAACACAGAAGAACAGAGAATAAAAAAGGAAGCCATCCAGAAAGAGTGTGGGTGTCTTTTTCCCTAAC